CATACGCCGTCGGTGGTTCGGTCGTTTAGCATAATTGATCAAATTACATGGCATGGCAGTGTTCCCATATATACTTACATATAGTGTGCCATATGTATCTGGACGATAGCCACAGTCGCGACAGGGTGTCCGTTTCAATGGCACATTCTATGGCATTTATCCTAATTTGATTTATAACGAATACCCCGATATGCTGGCCCTTATGTGGTGACCCCAAGGCATACAAGCAACGTACATATTAGACATATGTAAAACAGTTAAACAAACCGCAACACCTGACTTAACAAGCATCGATATGTATAGGTATATTTAATTCTTTTAATTCACTTTTATGTCATTCAATTGCGCCGTGAAAAAATCACTGGAAAAGTTTATTTTATTTTTATTTATTTATATGTATAATGCTAGCTTAAGATTAAAATCTTAAAACTAACAGAAGAGAATTATGTTAGCAATGGCTACTAGGGCCTTCAGCTAACTTTGTATGTTAATGAAAAAAGTAGGAATACATATGTATGGGGATTGGGTTTAGATTTTGTGGTAAATGTTTGTGGGTTTTAAATATTTAAATATGACTTTGGAGTTATGTATTGATGGGTTTGCAATTAAGGTGATGGGGTTAATGTTTGGGAAAATAGATAATCTATATGGTAGGAGTGTGGGGCATGAGGTGAGGATATGTGCAATGTTTATTAGCGCGTTATTGCAGAAAGGGCAGTGTTTGGATAGAGTTTGGTCCATGAAATGTGCGGGTGTTAATGCGGTATGTCCAAGGCGAATTCTATTAAGTTTTATTTGTTCTGTTCTTGATAGGAGGTTTTGTGGATTGCTATTGTACAGGTCAAGGAGAGATAAATTGGCGGCGTTGCTTTGCTGCTACCAATAGGATGTTTGGTTGAATCGAGACGCTTGTTTTAGAGTAAAATAATTTTTTAGAGCTAGGGTTATGTCGGAGGAATTGTAGTTGGGGGTGTAAATAAGAGGAAGAGCTGTGGACAGTTTTGCAAAAGAATCTGCTGTTTCGTTTCCAGTAACATTCTTGTGGCTAGGTACCCAAATAAGTTTTATTTTAGGGAATTTGTGTTGTAATATTGATCTGATTGTGGTAGGATAGTAATGGTGGTTGTCGAAGTTGGCTATGGCAGTAAGGGAAGAAAGTGAGTCTGAACACATTTTTCATGTTTCCCGGGTTTTAATAAACAGATTGCGATTGCTTTTTGGATTGCTATGATTTCGGCTGAAAATACGGAGGAGTAATGGAGTAGAATCCCATAGTGGATTAATTCTGTTTCTGATGAGATTGCATAACCTGTAACATCTTTGCGGAAAAGTTTTACATATTCAAAATATAGTAATACTCAAATCAAGGACTAAATGCCAGCGCCTATGCTTAATTAGAAATCTCTGTAATCGTATGCAGTAGAAACATAAAACATGTGTTTGCTTGTATTTATAAATTGGGGTATAGCTGCTACATATGGGAGCCATCCTCCTTCACAAACTTCTTGCTGGTAACATAGATTCCCCTTTCCTTCTTATTATTGTTGACTTGACAATTCCCTTAAGATTTACTCGTGTATTTCGTACCCTTTGCCAATCTGAAGATCTAACTTTGTGTTCTGAAAACATATCCTCCGAGTACTCCATTAAGGCTGTTTCCACAACAATCTACTTGCACCTTGATTCAAACACTCCTTAATTCTACCTTGCTCTCTTAATTATTTCACATTTTTAATTTTATTACTATAGTTATATTATGTAGTATCTTAAATTGTTTGTTTTTGCCAAGTTGGCGTATTCTTTGTTTATTAAATATAAATAAATAAATGTTATATATGATCTGAACCAGTGTTCCGCAATAATGTGTAAGTAAAGCTGTAATACTTTTTGTGTTTATTCAGATGTTAAGAAAATGAATAACAATAAGCCCATTGTGCTTTATGGATAAGAAAAAGTGAAAGCGATAGATATTCCTACTGAAGTGTTTGCTTTTATATTATATGTATTTCAAAAGGCGATTTGTTGATTTAAAAACAGTTCTTGGATGCGAAATTCCACTCTTATTTAAACTACAATATGCAAATGGACTTGCTATATATATCGCAAAACTTTCGTAATCATAAGTTATTCAAATAGTCGTAGTTGTAGTGTTTTTGTGTTTGTTGATACGAGCATGTTTATGTTTTAAGCAAGTATGATAATTATACCAAATAGACGACTTAAGCATGGAGGCATATTTAACTTAATTTGTTCAACTGTTTATGTTTTCAATTCTTGCAAATCGACTACATCTCAAAGTTATCAGAATTTATGCCTTAGGGCATCGAATAGTCGAGCATGCAGCATTTAATATTGTTGTAAATTAAATGTGTTTCGCAAAGTGTCGAAAGCCCAAGTGTTCTGCATAAAAGAGCAGAACAATATGAATAACAAATATGTACTAAATACCAAGAATAGACGACATGGTTTTTGGCTGCCAAACTCCATTAACTGGTAACAAAAGTAATATTGAGCAACAATAACAACAAGTGGCAGGGAAAAATAAGTCGCGAAAACAACTTGACTGCTCAAGGTTCGTTAAACTTGAGCGCTGCATTTTGGAGGGAGGGAGATTAAAGGGAATTGAAAACTAAATTTCTGCAGAAACAGGTACATAAGGACTTAAATGTCTGCCCAATTTTATAGCACGCCTTTTTAGTTATTTATTTATTTAATTAATTTTTAATGAGCTTCAGTTAGGTGTTTTAGGTTTAAAACTAAAATGAGAGTAGGATCAAAGTATTAAAGCTTTCCTTGCAATCAATCATTTGCAAAAAGAAACTTATTCATCAAACATTTTTAAATGAGAGCTAATATAGACAAAATCAATCCTTAAAACGTACAATCTTTTATAATGTTAAGTTATTTATATATTTAATGAACCTCGATTAGTTGGTAGCTTAAAATTAAAATGAGTATAATAAATCTATATATTTTTTTTATAATTTTACTGCTATATTTATAGCTCTAATTAAACTGATAGTTAAATACAAATACAAGTTAAACTAGGTGTTTAGTCTTGTAATTAACAATTCAACATTTATAATTTAAATAAATCTGTATAGGACTCAATCTTTTGCAAAAAGAAACTTAAACGCAAACAATTCTTCCTTGAGAGTTAAGCTGGAAAGCCAATCCTTACAACAGTTGTTGGAGAACAATCTTCTGCAAAACAATTTTACATTCCAACATGATGTGCTCCAAAATAAAATACAAGTACTTTCTAAGCTATACCCGACATTGATATATTCGAGAGACTGTTGTTAAATTTCACGAGCATTATAAACAATTCAATTAGTTGGATATTTTTGCTCAACAACAGTCGCATGTACGAGCATTTGTAGTCTACTTGATGGGATGAGAAGTGGTTGTGAGTCGACGTGAGTTGTAACTAAATCGTAACAATTCTACTCAACTTATTCCCATTATCGAACTATCTGATGTACATATGTACATACATACATGGATACACATGTTTGTATTTCTTGTTGAAAGCACTTTGCATTTCACGCTCTAATAGTTCGAAATCTTGACTTTTTGTTTCCAAACAGCTCACGAATGGCCATGTCAGGCAATTCGTTTCACTGCTCAAGCTCGAGCTCTCTCTGCTCTCACAGTTAAGGTAAGCATGTCGCCAGCCATAAGCACACTCATACACACACGCCAGCACATGCATTCAAACACAGATACACACACACACACACACACACACACACACACACACACACACACACACACATGCATAAATAGTAATGTGCAGATACGCCCAAAAAGTTTTAGAGCAGTTTGGCGCAAGTGCAAGGCAAGTCGAAATGATTAAGTCAAGGTCAAGGCAAAGTTGGAGCCAACAAAGTTAAACTGCTCACAAATGTAGATATATAGTATATATATATATAATATATATATATACCTGTAATTTGTGTGTGTGTGTGGCCGTATTTGTTTCATCCTGCAGCACATTTTCTCGCGTGCATCTCAGCATTTCTCTTCAATTATTTTAATAAATTGCAGTGCCAACAAGCCAGCGCCGCAGAGAGATCCACGACTACATCGTTGTGCTCTACTAAATTATAAATAAGGAGTAACGAGAACAGCAGCAACAACAATTATGAGAAATATGCTTGGTTTTAAGTAAAACACTGAACAGCATTGCAAACTTTTCTCCAACATTTTCATCAGCGCGAGCAAAAAAAACAACCAAAGTATTCGTTTTAAGGCATGTGGAGAGCAACTTATGAAGCGTACGGCCATTTAGGGGCGCTCAGCTCTTCAAACAGTGGGGGGGGGGGAGAGGAAGGGAATGGAACTGGTGAGTAAGTGTGCAACTTTTTGACGTGCAATGTAAATAATGACGCGTACTGAGCGTTATATGAGCTGCTGTAAATAAGAGTTTTAAAACAAATCGAATAATACTTGTATATAGTAGTACACACACACTCGTAGTGCATACAGAAGTCAATGGCCGATTTGAAGAACAAATAGAGCAACAGACATACATGCATTCATATGTAATGTAAATGAATGCATTTCCTTTAGAGATAAAACAATTCGAGTATTTTAAATGACTTCATTTTATTTTTCCGATATTCGCAAATAAATCAGCAATCCATGCAACGCCTTTGACTGGAAACAGTGCCGAATATATTTCTATATGAATAATTGTTATGCTAATAAGTTTGAGTCTAAATGTCTTTGCCTCTCAACGGCAGCTGACACCCAGCACTCAAATGAATCATTACAGCATGACAATATCGATTCATTTCGAGTATTTTTGTGTGAGTCACCAACTGACCCTCACCTGAACATTCATTTGGGTTCGGAGATCTTTAAATATGTAGGTAAAATATTGAAATGAGAAAAAACCTGCTGTCTGATAAACCATGATAAACAAATGAATATTTCTTAACTTGTTTGAAGGTTAATCAATCGAATTACATTTGTTTATATTAATAGTACCTATATGTTATTTGATTTTTTTATTTTACAAAATTTCTTACTATAGTAGATCTTTTATCAAAAACATACAAATACTTAGCGTAAATATTTTATATAATATGTTGTTGCTTACATTCTAACTGGTTAGCGATTCTTCTGTCTAGTTATTATATCTTTGGTTCTAATTAAGCAAATTAAAAAAAAAAAGATTTGTTTTAAAATCTAGAAAAACTCTTCAGCTCTGCAACTTGACAAACATACAATTTTATGATCGAAGTTGAATTGAATCGTGCCAATTATAAATCACTTCGGTTGGCTTTTTCATATGCATATATATCGCTATTAAGGTGCATAACTTTTATTAAATTTAAAGCTATAGTTGTTACCTAACAGCATTTGAGAAATGGACAAGGCAGATAAGTTCTTAGCTAGACCAGGAAGTCCAAAGCTATTGTCTGACTGGCAAATAGTTTGAGCATAAATTTATTGCGTACTCCAATGCGAAGCAAAAAGGTTTCCATTTAAAAACCAAAACTGTTTTTTGGGACCGTTCTCATTAAATGACTGTAAAATTTGACAAATTTTTTGATTGTATGAAAGTCAGCTGCTTAGTTAGCTCTGTTTCGTCAGCCCTTTATCAGCGATATAATACTACATGACTTCCTATTTGTAAGTCCTAACATCGTATGTTTGAATTATTGACATAGTTTTCTATTACTCGTCGAACAGATAGCACCAAACACACAAAATTGGTAGATAAGTGCGAGATGAACGAACTAGTACCATCATGCATCCGGATTATATCAACATCTCTGTTGAATGAATGAATCACTCAATCTTTTGTGCTTACACATTCTAACGATATTTGGTTTGCTCGATTATGTTGTGTATTGTATGTACGAGTATGTACGTCTGAGCGGGCAGACTTGATTGCAGACTTGAGAGTATTTTGAACGAATCCAACGTTCATCCAGGCTTTTTACAGTCTCCATGAACTGCCAGATTTCTAGATCGTTTGTGTGGCCATATCGCGTAGCCGACTGCGTCTATAGCAGTCGTACGTCTCCAGGCCGTTGATAGTGAAAGCAGTGAGACCGAAAAACTAAAAAGAGAAACAGACATACAGTTGGTGGCAACAGATAACCTTAATATGCCATAATTACAGCCAACTTACCGCCGCGGTTGTATAGCTGGCAATATCCAATGATAACACCAGTCCGGAGACAATAAAGTAGGCAACCGTTAGGGTAGCGTGCACGTAGAGCGAGAGTCGAGCAATGTTCGCATGGGGGAACTTGCTCTGCCAGAGGCGCAGGTACTGGAATAGGAGCAGCGTCAAGGTGGCCATAAATGCGGCCACCGATATTACCAGATAGGAGCTGCCACGAAAATTGCTAAGATGCACCGAGCTGCACAGAACGCAGAGGGAGCCCACAATGTAGCAGAACTAGAAGGTGCCAAGAAATCCAGCTGAGGCTATTGACCAACCGGATATACATAAATGTGGACGGCCACCAAAACTTACCAAGCAGGCCAGCTTGCTGAGTCCCCACTTGCTGCGCAGGTATTTGCGATCGTAGTCGTGCATGGTGTCTGATGAGTAGTGCCACTTTTTCTTCTGGCCTTAACATTAACATTAACAAAAAAAAAAAAGAAGCGATGCGTCCGACGCGATCTCCGCCGTTTCTTAGTTACTCATATTAACTGAACACGACCGCTCAAACGTTTACAAACACACAGCGCCACAGACTGACGACGTGCTTGAATCGAAAGCGAATGCTTAGAATATTCCCAGTGGGCTGCGTATGTTTGCGATATGCGAGAGCGACGCGTCATTCGGACGCTCGGCCGCTCATAAATGTGGGCCATAGAGATGTGCGAACTAGTTCACAAATTCAAGCCATTCATTCGCCGTAATTACATGAACTTGCATATTTTTCATCACCAATTTATTGTATTCCATATATTTTCAAAAGATTTTATGCAATTGTTCACAAACTAACTAAACACATGGTCACTATATTTGCAATTATATGAAAACATTCGAGTACTCATTTATATTGGTTTTACCTAAATTATTTATAATGAATTTTACTTGCAAAAAAATGAACTACTATAAAAGGTATGGGGTGTTACAATAGGTAATGCTCTATTTTGCAAATCAGCTAGAAATTCAGATACATAAGTACTTTGCAAAGCATGTTCGTTACTCTTTTATCATACAAAATAATGTATAAGATTCGATTCTAAAATCGAAAACATATAAGACGAAATGTTTTAGGAGCGATCGACTGAGACGTTAAATCTGTGAATTGAACGATATGTGAACCTTAGGTATTACAAATGATTTCAAGTGCTATCTTTTTACACACAAATAAAATATAATTAAATTATGTAAAGGTGATGGAACGATTTCGTTTAACTACGTAGTAGTTGCTAAAATGAACCCGTCCATTTATTTGTGTTTACTTACATTTCCCATTTCGTTTCATACTTAACTTTAGAATAGTTTGTAATCAACCATTATTTACAAAAAAAATCAAATTATTTGGCTACTCTAGCTACAGAAATTTGATCGTAACGAAGTTATGTAACCATTAATTTGAGAAGGAACTGACACATCACTGCAGTCGCGCTATTTCTTTCTGATAAATATGAGCGTCACATGCGGGCACATCACCGTCGCGACGTCCATATTGCGCACTCTTTCATGTTCTCTCTCTTTCTTTCTCTGTCTCTCTTTCCCCTCTCTGGCTGTGCGCCGGCTCTCATTTCTCTCTGGCTGCCATATTATCAGCAACGAGGCCGAGCAGCGACGTCCGCGTCAGCTGAGTTCGCACTTATCAGAGTGCTAAGTGGTTCTCCAATCATTTATTGTGCCATTCCACCAGTGGACAGCAGCAGGGCTGGGGGAGGGGGAAAACGAATAGTTTCTGGCAGAGAGTATGTTAATGCGAGTGTGTGATGTAATTTTTATTACAAAAGTATGCATTCGTATTTATTTGTTATCATACATTCATACTTGGACATGCACTGCTCTCTGCTGCTGCTGCTGCTGCTGTCGTTCTTGTTGTTGTTGTTGTCGGTGCTGTGATTCATGCCGCTGAAAGGGGCAGCAGCCAACAAAGCAACAACAACAAGAGCAACAGCAACAAACTCGTATACCGCACAACACGCAAGCCACTGACCCACCAACGATCCAACCGCGAAAATTTCACTTATTTTAATTGATTCATAGCATTGGTGCTCCAGCAACGGCATTGCGATGTGCACAGTGATGGGCCAGGGGGTGTTAAGTGGCGGGAGGGGGGTGGTGTTGGTGTTTTCAAATTGTTTAAAATACTGCGTGCCTCTCTCGAAAACAAAACGCTTGGAGCAGTGCCGGTGCGGCATGGCGTATCGTGCGTTCAAGGTTGTGGGGGCTGGTTGGTGAGGCTGCCAGTAAATGGGAGCGGAAACTCTTGGCATAACAAGATTTGAGTGCGATGGGGCTGCAGCATCGAATGCCTTCGGCAACGGGTGCTCAAAAACAGGAAACAAATAGCCAGCTATCAGGCAGCAGGCAGCAGGCAGCAAGCACCAACAGTCAGAGCAGAAAGAGGCGAACAGGTTGATTTGCTTAATTATAATAACAATTTCGAATAACAAACTCGGCTAGAGTGCGCGTGAATTTCATCTAAACGGAATTGTTCTCACATATATAAATATTTGTATACATTGTTTATGTATCATATAATATATATAGTATATAGCATATATATCGAGAATTTGCTTGCATGTCTGCCCATCTGGGCCAGAATGTTGCAATTCTTGTCCAGTTCTAAGCCTTGGCACTATGTTAGCTCTAAGCTTTAAATCACTCGGCAACAAGACTAATAATTAACGATTCTTTAGCACATTCGTGTTTCAAATGGATCTGACGTTTGTCTCTCGAAAGTATCTCACCATCCAGTATTTGTATTCTATTACTTTTATGATCAGTAAAAAAATACATGCTTTTTATCTTTTAATTTCCATTGCGTTAACTGCTTATGTTCATCTTGTTATAAGTTCTCAATAATCACCAGATAATATATCAGGAGGTAAAGAAGATTAATTTTTAAGATGGACTCTAAGTTCATATACAAGGAGTTCAATATATTTCTATATCTATAAAAAATATATATGATTTTTATCTTTTGATTTCCATTATGTTCATCTCCTTATAACTTAAAAGTTCTCAGTAATCACCAGACAATACATCAGGAGGTAAAGAAAATTAGTTATTAAGATGGACTCTCAATTCATATACTAGGAGGTCTATATTTGTTGTTAGACATCACCTAAACATTTGAGTAGAGATACGATTTGATCATCCAATGCATCATTCTAAGAAAGTTATAATTTCAATGGTTATGTTGTTTTCATCTAAACCATCATTCAAGGTTATCTATAGTCATCGTACCTTCTTTTTGTTTACATTTTTCCCATGCTATCTGTACATTTTATTTGATATACTTGTATATATATTTTTTTGATCAGCATTAAAATAGAGCCCACCACAATTTATATTTTCTTTACTTCTAATCGTAGCGCGTAGCTAATTGTCCAGTTCCGCCAGTAACTCATACAGCACATTTATTTGGAAAAACGTCATCCATAATATGCAAAATGCTAATAAAAGTGCCAGATTTAGCATTGAGGTTTATTTGCATATTTTGCATAAATATAATCGCGGCTTGTGCACAGTTTTAAAGCACTCGAAACTTAACCGCAATTCCAAATGCCATACCCTAAACATATGGACACTGGAGAAAAAAAGTAGAACGCCATATTCCAATGATTAATTATATTGAAACACAGTCATCAGCTGCTCCTGGAATATTTAAAAGTACTACATATACTATACTATATATATTAAGAATGAATTTGTGAATCTATGAATTTATGGATTTATCTCAGAACGGAATTTGAAAAGAAGCAGAAATATGAAGGAAGTGCATCTGAAAAGTTTTTAATTCAATTAAACTAATAAGAACCATCACAAAATATATCTTATTATATCCGAATTTGCTTAATGAGATTTTAAAAAATAGCGTCACAGCCAGGATGAACTTTGTTCTTCAAGCAAGAAAAAGTGAAATAAATAAAAATCTTGGAGAGGCAAACTACTTCCATAATAAATATGAAATTACAGAAATATCCTTAAACTTAAACCAATTTCTTATCTGAAAGCCAGGTGTAGTAACTTGTGAGTTTAGGGTACATGTTAGTCATCGACAGACAGCTTAAACGAAGTCCAGTTTAAACATAGCTTTTTAGAATGTTTAATTATGTAATAAAGAAACGCTTGTTACCCTTTAATTATGATTATGAAGAAAAGTTCCTAATACCACCAGTAAAACTATAATAAGTTTGCTAATAATGTTAGCTAAGGTTTAAGATATTCGGGGCATAGCTGTCCACATAAAATAAAAAATAAAAATATTAGAAGAGACATTTTATTTCGGGCTTAAGATCTTTTTAAAATCAAGATTTCAAACATCTTCTTAAATAAGTCTGCTACTAACAGTTTCGAGCCAATTAAAACACACCTGTACAAGTATTTTGTGTATTTTTTTGTCTGAGTGTACACAGTATTAGCTGCTAGCAGATTAAATTGCACCGACTCTCACGCATGGACCATAAGCTAAAGTATTCGCTTTAGCCATTGCATTAGGTTACAAAGAGTTGAACTTGCCAAAAATGCCAACACTGCACACGTGCAGCGCTCGCCCTAAGAGGGGGAGTGGCCGAAGGGGATGCAGGGCGTAATGGGGGTATGTTGCACTTTTAAACCAACTAAAATTGCTTTTAATGATTTATGCACATGGCTGGTCTAAAATGCACATGGCACGTGCTGCTCAGATTCGTTCGGCTGCTTCCATCACTCATACGCAACGTGGGCAAGCCACTGCTGCTAATTCATTTAATGCTGCCTTTATACTCGCACGCTCGCATTTCCGAGCCCGGCCCACCACGGTTGTGTTCACGGCCATGTTCGTATCCATGTTCGTATCCATGTTCATGTCCATATTCATGTTCATGTCCCACTTTGTGGTAATAGAGTGTGCTTCGCCTTTCGTCAGACGCGTCGTATACGCAATGCAATGGCCGCGGACTCTGCTTTCAGTTCGCTCTTATGGCTGCTACCGATGTTGTGTGCTGCATGTTTTGCGCGTGCCTCCAGCGCCCTTTGCCTTTCTATGACCCCTTGGCGGCTTAAAGCTTCAACGCTTCTGGAAAATGCCGCTGAAGGCTGCAAAAAGCGGAGTCGTGAGCCAGCAGTTACAATACGAATTCTAAGCCTAAGTCGGAGCCCACTGCTCTTAATGGACAACACGGACGGACACAGTGCTTACGAAGATGTTAATTTTCGGATATGTGGAATTAATGGCATCACTAATTGGTAGCAAATAAATTCTAATTGCGTATTGATTTGGAAAATATTATAAATAATATAGCTATATTTGTGTTTCAACCTATCCTTTAGTTTAGTTTGTTTTTAGTCATAATGAACAAATTTTATGGGTTGAGAACAATGTTTATGAATGACCAAACGCTGAAAAGGAATCGAATCAGTACTCAAAAAATTAATTCTTAAAAACTTAGGTCATACTGTTGTGTTATAGTTTAAGCTGCAGGCCGATTTGCAACATAATATTAATAAAAAAAA